GAGATTAGTAAGGTGGATTATGACTACTCGTCTCTTGATGATGGATTATATATTAACTTTATCGTTAATCAATAAGGGATTAAATTTGAGAATTATAACCCTCTTTCCCTGGTTAAGGATTAGTTAATTTTATCCCTACTTAATTATTACTGATGGGGAAATTAAATATGGATTAGTTTTTTTAATTGAGAGAGGTTGAGTGAACTGAATAATGTGTTGATATAAATAATGTGAATATATTTATTCGGCGTTTGTTTAATAATTAATTATTGATATATTATGTACTAAGACTTTCTCTATTTAATTTAGGTATTATATAATCGCAACCCCAACTAATTCTCATCAAATAAGAGATTAATAATTATGACGTCGCAAAAATATTAGTATTTATAGGAAATTAATTAGTCACTTATAAAGGCGAAGTAGATGAAGGTAAAACACACTAACGAGGGGGAATAAGAGAAGTAACTGATGATTTTAGGGAGTCAATGAATAAAGAGAGGAGATACGTCGATAAATTACTATGTTAACTATAGAATAAAGAAGAGAATTAGTAAAACAAAAACAAAACAAAAATAGACGATAAATAGAAAGGAATAATAAGAATAATCTGATAAATAATACATAAAGGAACATAAGAGAAATACTAATAAATAGAAGAAAATAAGAAAAATTGAAAAATACAAAAGCTAAAGGAATGAATTAATATTCCTCAATTGGTAAGAGTAAATGGGGAGAGAAAAATACCGATAATAAGAGATGAGGAAAGAAAGTGAGGTGAGAGGTGAGGAAAGAGAGTGAGGTGAGAGGTGAGGAAAGAGAGTGAGGTGAGAGGTGAGGAAAGAGAGTGAGGTGAGAGGTGAGGTGAGAGAGTGAGGTGAGAGGTGAGGAGGTGGGGTGAGGGAAGGGAGTGAGGTGAGGAGGTGGGAGAGAGTGGAGTGAGGTGAGGTGAGGAAGAGTGAAGGTGAGAGGTGAGGAAGAGTGAGGTGAGAGGTGAGGAAGAGGTGGGTGAGGTGAGGAAGAGTGAGGAGGTGAGAGGTGAGGAAGGAGGTGAGAGGTGAGGAAGGAGTGGGTGAGGTGAGGAGAGTGGGGTGAGAGGTGAGGAAGAGTGGGGTCGAGAGGAACGAGGTGGGGGTGAGGAAGAGTGAGGTGAGGGTGAGGGAAAGAGAGTGAGGGTGAGGTGAGGAAAGTGAGAGTGAGGTGGGGGTGAGGAAAGAGGTGAGGTGAAGTCGAGGAAAGAGTGAAGGTGAGAGGTGAGGAAAGAGTGAGGTGAGAGGTGAGGTGAGAGAGTGAGGTGAGAGGTGAGGAAAGAGAGTGAGGTGAGAGGTGAGGTGAGAGAGTGAGGTGAGAGAATGAGGAAAGAGAGTGAGGTGAGAGGTGAGATGATGACGTGTGTCTCTTAGAACTCAACATGTCACTTAATGTATGTTAAATGCAAATGTTTTAGTTCACTGAAGGTCGCTTATGTTAATGTGTGTGTGTGTGTGTGTGTGTGTGTGTGTGTGTGTGTGTGTGTGTGTGTGGCTTCAGATCTTCCGACGAGGTTTGTCTAAAATGTCGACAACGCTGTACTATACCGACAGAGAAAGGAATTATCGACACATAGTAGATTTAAATGTCGACAAAAATACGAAATGTCGGTCCTGATTCAAGGTTAATGGGGGTGATATGTCGACGGTGATACAAACTGTCAATACCAAAGATGAGGACAGTGTGGTGTTGAGATTAGTGTGGTGTTGAGATTAGTGTGGTGTTGAAGTTAATTATTGGTGTTGAGATTGGTGTGGTGTTGAGATTAGTGTGGTGTTGAATTAGTGTGGTGTTGAGATTAGTGTGGTGTTGAGATTGGTGTGGTCTTAAGATTAGTGTGGTCTTAAGATTAGTGTGGTCTTAAGATTAGTGTGGTGTTGAGATTAGTGTGGTGTTGAGATTAGTGTGGTGTTGAGATTAGTGTGGTGTTGAGATAAGTGTGCTGTTAAGATTAGTGTGCTGTTAAGATTAGTGTGCTGTTAAGATTAGTGTGGTGTTGAGATTAGTGTGGTGTTAAGATTAGTGTGGTCTTAAGATTAGTGTGGTCTTAAGATTAGTGTGGTCTTAAGATTAGTGTGGTGTTGAGATTAGTGTGGTGTTGAGATTAGTGTGGTGTTGAGATTAGTGTGCTGTTAAGAATAGTGTGGTGTTAAGATTAGTGTGGTGTTGAGATTAGTGTGGTGTTGAGATTAGTGGGGGTAGAGATTAGTGTGGTGTTGAGATTAGTGTGGTGTTAAGATTAGTGTGCTGTTAAGATTAGTGTGGTGTTGAGATTAGTGTGGTGTTGAGATTAGTGTGGTGTTGAGATTAGTGTGGTGTTAAGATTAGTGTGGTGTTGAGATTAGTGTGGTGTTGAGATTAGTGTGGTGTAGAGGTTAGTGTGGTGTTGAGATTAGTGTGGTGTTGAGATTAGTGTGGTGTTAAGATTAGTGTGGTGTTAAGATTAGTGTGGTGTTGAGATTAGTGTGGTGTTGAGATTACGATGCTTGTGTTAAATGGTGGTTGGGAGTCCAGAGCGAGAGAGAGAGAGAGAGAGAGAGAGAGAGAATAATACTCACGGCAGAAAAAAGCCTTTATCATTAGTTCTTGAGTTCATACTACATCCTCTCTCTCTCTCTCTCTTTATTTCTCTATCTTTTTTTCTCTATCCTTCCTCATTTTCTTATCTTGACACATACTTCCTAACAACAACACTTCCCCGCGTTACAGGAAAGAGTACGCCAAAAACTGCGTATTTCCTAGAGACTAAACATACGCTCGTAAATTCCTTTGTCCCTTATCTTCCAAAGTCTTAAAGGATCTTAGGTAAAATTTTCCTCGTAACTAGAGTTGAGGTAACACATATATTTTATACTTAACTTACGAGAGGCTGGTGAATTAGACCACCTGGAGATTAAAACCCGGCTTATATCACCTGAATATTAACCACCCTAAACTATCCTAACCTAACCTAACCACCTGAAAATTATAACCTCGGCTTATATCACCTGAATATTAACCACCCTTACCTATCCGAACCTACCCTAACCTAACCTAACCACCTGAACATTAAAACCCCGGCTTATATCACCTGAATATTAACCACCCTAAACTATCCTAACCTAACCTAACCTAACCACCTGAACATTAAAACCCCGGCTTATATCACCTGAATATTAACCACCCTAACCTAACCTAACCTAACCTAACCTGAACATTAAAACCTCAGCTTATATCACCTGAATATTAACCTCCCTATCCCAACATAACCTAACCTAACCTAATCTAACTCACCTTAACCTAACCTAACCAAAAATGAAGATGAGAGAATAACTTTTTATGGCATTGATAAGATATGACGTAATATATATCAATAAAAAAAGGCTAATATTCTCCTCTATAGGATATCATATACACGTCGAAATGGCCCCTGTGTCTGTACCATAAATAGAGGCGTTATCGTTTACCTGGTGGGAGAGAAGAGACCTAAGATCTATTGAGGTTCCCGACATTATATATCTTCCTTGTGACTGTTTCTCTGTGTGTGTGTGTGTGTGTGTGTGTGTGTGTGTGTGTGTTGAGTATACATGTATGTGTGTGTATTGTCGGAACACTATCCACAAAGCTCAAATAGACATAGGTAACTCTTTTCTTTTATTCAAACATATACATTGATGTGGAAATATGGCGTAGAATATTAAAACACCATTCTTGTTTGTTGTAATCTCTCTCCCCACAAACTACCCAAATTAAGATAAATAAAGAGAGACAGATGACGTCGTTGGTACATTTAAATTTTGCAAGAATATTGATTTACTCTTGACGCAACAATATATTGATTCGTTCATGAAGCATCGTACTCAAAGGGTTAAATTAAACCACTATTTTCAAGAGGTTAAAAGAAAGAAAAACTCATTATAGGTTAAACCAGGAATAAGTAAATAATAAAACCATAATTATTTAAATGTTAAACCATCACTACTAAAAAGGTGTTAAATCATCGTACCTGAAAGAGTGTGAATTAACGCTAAATCATCACCTCTGTTTTAATAACCTGAATTTAGTGACTTATATAATTATGTCTAACAATCCATAAGGGTTAGTGTGGATACTGTACACTATTAAGCCTTCGGTACACAAGAGACGGACACTGTACTCGATTATCTTCCCTTCCTCAAGTGTAAAGTTAGGTACATCCCCCTCGAGATTGAACCAACTTTTCATTTAGGATAGATACATAATCAATACTGTATCCACTTTGCCAGCCTCCTTCCTCTACTGTTGTATCACTAAGCTATTACTGTAGTTCGCTGTAGTCTATTGTAGTCTGGGTTTTTTTCTCTTGTATCAGCTGTTCTAATAGAGTCTTTCTTGAGTTTTTCTGCTTGTCTATCATGTTTTATGTCTGTTTTTATTTCTGTCTATCCTCCTCTCAATCTGGTTTTCTATTTCTCTACATGCCTGTCTTTCGTTCTGTCTGTCTGTCTGTCTGTCTGTTACAATTTGTTTTAGGCTCCAGGGGTCAGAGGTCAAGGTCACGAGTATCCATAAAAAGACAACAGACTAGCTTATACGATGTCTGTGTCTGTGTCTGTGTCTGTGTCTGTGTCTGTGTCTGTGTCTGTGTCTGTGTCTGTGTCTAAGTTACTCTTGTCTATACACTATACATTGACGTCAAGGAAAGTCGATTTGTAAATAAATATCCGATTTTTATAGTTACTACAGTTAATGATTTTTGTGGAGTCGTTTCCGATTTATTTATTTTTATTTTTCGTAAACGATGATCCGATTTTTGTGGGTTATAATAATATCTGATTTTTTTTTTTGGGGGGCTGTATTGGTAAACGATATACTTGGATATACAGGAACGTGTGTAACCAGATTTAATGTGTTTTGAGATAATGGAATTTATATATACTGTATATATAAGTTTTAAGATTTTTTTTTTTTTTTTACATCGGAATATAACAGAAATTTATGAACGGGGAAACTGAAGGATGGAGTGGATCTAATAGTTGTTTATATGTTATTTCTTGTTTGTTTGTGGATGATAACTGAGAGAAGGTGAACCATAACGAACCATTGGACACTAAAAAACGACCAATATATAGTTCTTCGTCTTTTTAAGGATGAGAACCATTGGAATTTTACCGGTGACTCGTCTATACCTGAGGATTGTAAATGACAGAAGGAACTCGTGTATTTCTGCAGCGTCTCACCTGTCAAAGGAGATGGCCATGAGCGTGAAGACAGAGGCGCAGATGGACAGAATGGATACGAACTGGCTGATCTTGCAGTATATCCTCCCGAAGCGCCAATGAAGGTTTAGCATGTAGGTGAAGTTGAAGACAACGTTGAGGGTGGATACCATAGCGTCAGCCACGGACAGGTTCACCAGGAAGATGTTGGTGACTGTACGCATGCGTCTGTCAGCCAACACGATCCAGATGACAATGAGGTTACCCCCTGTAGCCACCACAACCATCCCGCCGAAGAAGACCGACCAGATGAGTTGATGCCACCAGGGTAATTGGTATTTGTTCTCCTCCCCTAGGGTCACGTTCCCCGTGCTGTTGGTGCTGTTCAACATCGTATAGACCAAATTGATCGTAGGGTCTTCGTATTCCTGACCGGTGCCGTTCTGCGCCATGTCTCTGACCTGGATAGTGCTCATATTCCAGGTCGTTTCATAATCTAAGAGCTCCATAATATAGAGAAGTGGCAGCTTGTAGGGTTCAGGCGGCAAGTGATATATCTTCCCTTGAGACCACAGTAGAGGCAGATTACAGTGTTTTATTTCTCTCTAGACGATAGATAGATATTCTCTTACCTTACCTATTACAGTTAAACCTTCCTACGTTGTCTATAAGTCATGTTAAACGTTCAGTAAACTTATAAGTGAAGGATATGTATCACGTATCACAAGAGTATTTACACCGGAGAATTCCCGCCATAAAGTAAACACAGAGATGGAGGCTTAATTTCAGGTATAAAAATTTCTATAAGAAGTTTTTATCTCGTGTCACCAGAGATGCTTGACACAAGTGCCTCTAGCCTTTAAAAAAGTCATCTCGGGGTAGTTTACATGGTAGCTTCATCATCATAAACAGGTGGTAAGTGAGACGAGTGATGCCATGAAAAAATTATCTAAAGCCTCTTATCACTCACGAGTTAATCGGTGTTGAAGTACCATAAAACATCTCAAACTCCCATTAACTTTACTTAAGAGGTTTTTGACAGGTTATTGTTTGTTGAGGCTGAGACTCGGTGTGTGGCGGAGCTTACACAGGAGTTTTTGGAGCCCAGGAGCCCTTGATGGAGCCTATGGTGTACATTGTGTCACACTTCGCCATACTCTTCCTCCTACTCAGCTTCGAGACGTTCCCCCTAGTCACTCCGGCAGTGTTGGTAATGTGAGTTTTTGTAATAAATTTTTAAATAGTTATTGGAGGGAGGCGTGAGGTGAGAGCTGTTAGTGTACCTGGATCACTTATCACTCCATCGTGTCAGCGTCTCATCACCCACAACACACCGCAGTAGATCTGGGTGTGAATGAAACTTCTTTCTCTCAGTCTCATATACTAAACTTCAGGCAGTGAACTTTTCCATAGTTTATAAACAGCAACTCGCAGTTCAGCTCTGTTCTGGGGACCCGCACTGACCTATGAGAGTCCACCGCCATGACTTAACTCACAAAGACACATCAACTCGGGACCAGAAAAGGTCAGGCAACAGTTTGTAGTAGATGGTCGCACTGTGAGAGAGATGCCGGGACTACGAGCAGCGCGGCGGTGTTTCCCCGTCCAGCCTTCACCGGCAACTAAGGAGGGATAGGAGGCGAGGCGGTGGCTATAAGTCCCTCCCCCTGCCTGACCCCGTACACGCGCACCTCCCACCTGTGGGCGGAGGCTGTAGGCCACACCACAGTCTGAAACACCCGTACGTTAAATTCATCTTTTTCAACTAGGTGTGGCAGCTTGTTACGGTAGTCTTGGCACACTTTGATCGTCATCTTTATACTGCAACATATACTGTACGATGATTCGGTGGTGGACGGCCACGACACAGTCAAATGTGTGTTCGTTACTCTTTCTTCCTTAGCTGGGGATAAGTTGTGGCTTCTGACTGCGATAAATTATCAACATAACAAAGACCTCAATCCATCCGTCACCATGGACCCGTGTGCTGCGACCAGAAGCTAGGAGCCAATATCCAGTTCTCAGATTTTCATTCGTTATATTTTTCCCCCTAGATAGGTGATAAAGTAACACAGGATCTCACAAGCTACCGCACACAACAACAGACTGATATCTTGAAAATTGGAGCGATACTCTCGTTCACAGGTGTTTCCTCGTCACTTGTTACAGGAAAATAATTAACCTGAGAAACTTGACAAAAACTTCCAAACTCACTTCATTAAATGATTCTGCTTTATTTGAGCGTGAGTAACAACGTGACTACTGGCGTCACTCAGCTTGTTAGCCCCTTGAGGACGATGACATACCCCGTTTGATGACGATGATTCAACCCTCTTCTAGGACGATGAAATAGCCCTCCCCCTTCAGGACGATGATTCAACCCCCCACTTCAGGACGATAATTCAGCCCCCTCTCTTCAGGACGATGATTCAGCCCCCCACTTCAAGACGATGATTCAGCCCCCTCTTCAGGACGATGATTCAGCCCCCCACTTCAAGACGATGATTCAGCCCCTTCTTCAGGACGATGAAACAGCCCCCCTTCAGACGATGATTCAACCCTCTCTTCAGGACGATGATTAGCCCCCACTTCAGGACGACGATTCAACCCCCCACTTTAGGACGATGAAACAGCCCCCTACTTCACTACAATGGTTCAGTCCCTCTCTTCTGGACGATGATTCAGCCCCCTCTCTTCAAGACGATGAATCAGCCCCCCTCTTCAAGACGATGAATCAGCCCCCTCTCAGAACGGTGATGCAACTCCGTCAAAGAATTTATAGCAGTTACACACGTTAGTTGTCTCCATCTGTCCCCACCTGATTTATAATTGATTTAAGACAAGACCCAACATTTGGTCATTAACCGAGAGTTTAAACAGCATTACTTGGTGTCACATTATCTATTTTGTCTCGAGAATTCCTGACACGTTGTAGTCTTGTGTTTTGTTATTAAGGTGATAATAACCTACGAGGTGTTTAGTGAAGTTTTTAATGATGTCAAAGGTCTTATTGTGTTTTATACTGAAGGGTTGATTATCAGAGGCTCAGAGTTATTACAGTATTGTTTATGGAACGTGTGTGTGTGTGTGTGTGTAATAATAATAAATAATAATAAACGGTTTATTAATAGAGTTGCAGCCGGTGGCTGAAAATATACAGACTTACATTGAATTTAGACATAATGATATAATATGCATTGAATACATTTACAGGGCTGTGCAGTACATAAATCAGGAGTTGCTTATTATTTTAACAATAGATGGGATGGTGCTGTTCTTATATCTATCGGTGCGGGCTCTTATGGGCTGAATTTTGTTGTAGTGGCGGACTGCGCGAGGTGGGTGGGGGGCAGGAGGTGGCGATGGCGAGGGTGGTGCAGTAGTCCACGGCCAAACCTTTCCAGTGCTTGGTGGTGGAGGTCACTGAGGGATGGCATTTCCAGGGTGGAGAGGGCGTTGGTGTAGCCGGAGTATTCTGCGCCGAGCATGATTCTGCAGGCCCTTTTCTGTACCTTCTCTAGCTGACGTTGTTGGGTGGAGTTGAGAGAAGACAACCAGGCTGGTGACGCATACGTTAGTTTGGGGAGAATAAAGGCGTTGTAGATGGTCCTCAGCTCTGGCGTGGGTGTCCCAAGTGACCTAAGTCTTCGTAGCATGTAGAGACGGTACGAGGCTGCCTTGACTGTGTTATTTACATGGGCTTTCCAGTCAAGTTTGTTGTCTATAGTTACACCCAGGAGTTTGGCAGACTGCACCAGCTGGAGAGGATGGGCACCCACTATGACTGCTGGGGCTTGCACTGGAGTGGTGGCGGTATTGATGTGCATGACTACGGTTTTGGTGTGGTTGATGGTGACCTTGTTCTCCATAGTCCATGCCTGTAGCCTGTCCAGGGTGCCTTGGAGCGGTGAGTAGTCTGGTGCGGTGTTGTCCACTGAAACCCCTACAGTGCAGTCATCCACGTACTTCCACCTGTGAGGAGTGTCCGATAGAGCGTCGTTGATCAGGATGAGGAAGCACAGTGGTCCCATCTTGGTCCCCTGGGGAACACCGCAGGTGAGGTGTTGGAATGTAGAGACCAAGCCCTGATACCTCACTGCTTGGCGACGTCCACTCAAGAAATCAGTGAGCCATGAGACCAGGTTGATGGGCAGCCCTAGTGCAATAGCCTTGTTGATAACAGTGCAGTGATCAACAAGGTCAAAGGCCTTCCTGAAGTCCACAAGGGCAACGGCCAGTGATGTCTTACGTTTCTGTGTGTGTGTGTTTGTGTGTGTGTGTGTGTGTGTGTGTGTGTGTGTGTGTGTGTTGAGGTTAACTATATAAACTGTAAATGCCTGAAGCTCTTTAACCATGGACACACTATAAACGTCTCCGTTACACACACACACACACACACACACACACACACACACACACACACACACAGTGCCAACATTGGTATTACACCCTAAAGTATTTGACCCACAAACTCATAAAATAAATTAATAAAATAAGATAAAATAATACAATAAAACAAAGGAATAAACTAAGATAATAAAATAAAGTAATAAAATAAAGCAATAAAATAAGGTAATAAAATAAAATAATAAAATAAAATAAAATAAGATAATAAATTAAAGTAATAAAATAAAGTAATAAGATAAAATAATAAAATAAAATAAAATAAGATAATAAAATAAAGTAATAAAATAAAGTAATAAAATGAAATAATAAAATAAGATGATAAAATAAAGTAATAAAATAAAGTAATAAGATAAAATAATAAAACAAAATAATAAAATAAGATAATAAAATAAAGTAATAAAATGAAATAATATAATAAGATGATAAAATAAAGTAATAAAATAAAGTGATAAAATAAAATAATAAAATAAGATAATAAAACAAAATAATAAAATAAAATAATGAAACAAGATAATAAAATAAGATAATAAAATAAAGTAATAAAATAAATTAACAAAATAAAATAAGGTAATAAAATAAAAAAATAAAATAAGATAATAAATTAAAGTAATAAAATAAAGTAATAAAAAAAGGTAATAAAGTGAAATAATAAAATGAGATAATAAAATAAAGTTATATAATAAAGTAATAAAATAAAATAATTCTTGAGTAAAAAACTTAAAATGTTTTCATCTCATCCATTAACCAAATTAACACCAAGTCTTATAAATAGTTTACTCTTCACTGGTGCTGTTGAAGAACTACAGCTTAGTCATTAACTTGAGGTACATTAACCTAATTAGTCTGATTTATTATACTTTATTCATTTTAATAAGTATGAAACTAATTTTCTTTTCCTTCGCATTACTGGAGGCTCTTCCTGTGTATACGACATAAGAAGAACAATTAATTTTACCTGTAAGAGTGTAATTAACAGGAAAAACATTAATTTTACCTGTAAGAGTGTATTTAACAGAAAAACATTAATTTTACCTGTAAGAGTGTAATTAACAGGAAAAACATTAATTTTACCTGTAAGAGTGTATTTAACAGAAAAACATTAATTTTACCTGTAAGAGTGTAATTAACAGGAAAAACATTAATTTTACCTGTAAGAGTGTATTTAACAGGAAAACATTAATTTTACCTGTAAGAGTGTAATTAACAGGAAAAACATTAATTTTACCTGTAAGAGTGTAATTAACATGAAAAACATTAATTTTACCTGTAAGAGTGTAATTAACAGATGAGACTTGAGTATAAGCTATTAACAGACCAGAAGGTGAATGCCAAAGGGGGTGAAAGTGACCTCTGATAAAAGCCTGCTTGGGATAATGTGCTCTATGTTATTTAAATGTATCGATAAAGCCAATAACATTTACCTACTTCTTCTTCATTAGTTCCAATAAAGATCTTCAGACTAGCCTGTGGTAAAATACTATCATTTGTTTCTTAATTTAGGTCGACGAAAATACCAGTTACTTTCCTTCTTCGTGTCAGGGTGTGCTAGAGTGTGTGGGGGGTGGTTTAGAGTGTGTTTAGGTGTGCATAGAGCGTACCAGGGTGTGTTAGACTGGTTTAGAGTGTGTTTAGGTGTGTTGGAGGGGTGCCATGGGGTGTTAGAGTGTACCAGAGTGTGTCAGGATGTGTTAGAGTGGTTTAGAATATGTTAAGGTGTGTTAGGATGTCAGGATGTGTTTGAGTGTGCCAAGGGATGTTACTGCGGTTTAGAGTGTGTTTAGGTGTGTTGGGGATGTCAGAATGTGTTAGACTGGTTTAGAGTGTGTTGGGTGTGTGCCAGGATGTGTCAGAATGCATTAGAGTGTGCCAGGGGTATGTTAAATTGGTTTAGCCTGTGTTAAGGTGTCTTGGGAAGTCCGTCAGGCTGCATCAGGATGTGTCCGAGTGTGTCAGGATGTGTCAGCTTGTTCAGTAGTCTCTGTAAGTGTATAACAGAGACAGAGTATGAAGACCCTCTATTATCTTGAGTACTAAGCCCTACACCCCTTGAGTACGAAGACCTTCACCCTTTGAGTACCAGAGATTGGAGACCTCGTTCTCAAATAGTTTAAGATATTAGTGTTTTTGAGAACTGAAACCCAAGTATTAAAAAAACAAAAACATGGATGGTTACAGGTCGCCTTACACTGCAGAACGAT